AAAAAAGATAGAGTGGTTCAAGGTCTATAAAACACTCAGATATTTTCACGTAACCGAGAGAAGCTTAGGTTGATAACTGCCAGAAGTTCACGTACTACACGGCGTATATTTTGTATTAAAAAGAATAAAAAAGCTAGGGCCGAAAGTTTTGTTACTAGAAGTTCAAGTGCTCTGCCCGAGAAAGTTAAAAAATCTTGTGAGAGAGGTTGAACAAAAAGCATGACAGAAGTTCAAGGTGAAACAACGAGAAGTTCAATACTGCAAGGAATGCATTTCAGATAGTAATATAAGAGTAGAAAACAAAAAGGTTAAAAGGTTTGTTGCAAGAAGTTCACGTGCTCCCCCGGTGAAGTTCAAGATCTCTAGTGCAAGACGTCCGACCTTCAATTATATATAAAAACAGGCAAAAACGACGTTGTTTTTTCCATTTATAAAACTGCTCTTAAACGATAAAAATTTGTAACGTATGTCTACATGAAAAAGATGCTCCTATTCATAAGCTTTTCAATGGTATATTATATGCTATATTCCGATGAATGGTTTAAAAGTTTTATGTATACCGTTAAAAACACAATTTTACGCATTCAAAAAATTATTTTGAACCGCCGCGAGTATGAAAAACTGAACAACACGAGAAAGTTGCGTGTTTGCAACAGCTTTCCATCGGCATATCATTTGCTCAATTCCGGTAAGTGGTTTGAGAGTTACATGCAAAAACATCACGTCATAAACAGAGTGAAGTTCAAACAGACGTGCGCGGGAAGTTCAACTACTTCACACAGTGCATTTCCATTCGCGATGAAGGCATAAATTATGATCTCATCATTTTCTAATTTACTTCAAAACAACAGGAATATCATTTGTGTAAGTTCAAGTCCTCGTCCAAGAAATTTAAAAAAATTATCGTAAGAGAGGTTTGTATAAAAATAATATCATTTATGTAACACTGACGAAATGGATGGGAAAATTAAAAACGAAAATACGTCACAGAAGTTCAACGTGAAAACAGCCCGAAGTTCGACTACTATAGTGAATGAATTGGAGATGAAAAACTTTTAAATTTGTCGCGAGTATGAAAAAACGATCAACACGGGAAAGTTGCGTGTTTACAACAGCTTTCCATCGGTATATCACTTGCTCAATTCCGGTGAGTGGATGGAGAGCTACGGGCAAAAAAATCACGTGAAAAACAGAGTGAAGTTCAGGTACACGCGCCGAGAAATCCAGGTTCTTCACGCGGTGCATTTTCAAAGAATCTGTTTTGCGATAAAGGCAGAACGCATGATCCCGCCGTTTTCGAAATTACTTGAAAACGGCTAGGAATCAGAGAAAACCATCAACATGAAAAAGTTTCGTATTTTCCGTAGCTTTTTAGCGGTATATTATTTGCCCCATTCCGATAAAGTTTGTAGAAATTACGGCAAAAATACGTTTTTAACCATTTTCAAAACTGACATAAAACCGTAGTGAATTAGGAGAAACAATACATACCAAAACGTTTCGCATTTCTTCAAGCTTTCCAACGCCATATCATTTGCTGCATTTGGACGTACGGTTAAAAAATTAGCTCAAAAATACGAACTCGGTGGAACTTGTATTATTTTCTAAATTACTTTTAAACCATTCAAAATTAGAAAAAACTTTTAACATAAAAAAGTAGCGCATTTTCATAAGCTTTCCAACTCCATATTATTTTCCTCAATTGGATTAGCCGTTTAGAAATAACGTCAAAAATACGAACTCGGGTGTTCGGTTTACGAAATTTTACGATTTTCTGAATTACTTTTTAACCGTAGGGAATTAGAGAAAACTTTCACCATGTGAAAGGAGCGGTTTTGCAGCAGCTTTCCAACGCCATATTATTTGCCTCATTCCGATAAACAGTTTAAAAATGCGATCGAAAATACGATTCACGTTTTTTGTGTGAAGAAAAAAATAGTTTTCAAAACTGCTCTTAAACCGCTTATATTTTGCCAAAATTTTAACTTGGGTCATGATACTAATGTCCATAGCTATCCAACGGTATATCGCAAGCCCTATTTGAACACCTTTTAGCTGAAGTTCAACCTAGTACTCGGGGAAGGTCAGGCGCGTTACTCGGGAAGTTCATGTTGTGATTAGAATATTATTCTGATCCCGTGATCAGAATAGTGTTTATATATATATATATATATATATATATATATATATATATATATAATGATCGGTTCTACTAGAAATTCTATTTATATATATGCATAACGTGTACAATATGTAGTATCGTAAAATACCAGCAAACAAAAAAGAATTAAATGGAAAACACAAAATTAAATGAAAAAGAAATCATAAACCCAAACCCCCCAACCTTTTAATACCGGTTGGCGTCACCAACCGGTACTAAAGGGCACCCTGCCCCCGAAGCTGGCTCGTGTCACGTGGTTGCCTTTTAGCACCGGTTCGTGCTGAACCGGTACTAAGGGGGGTGGGCTTTAGTGCCCACACGTTACTAAAGGGCCTTACGAACCGGTGCTATTGCCCGGTTCTGCACTAGTGTTGTGGTTTGTCGTGACTTCTATGGGAATTATTTGCGAAGCTCATCTCTAGTGATATTTGGTATGCACGCCGCTAACACACTTGAGACAATCGCGTGTCACGAAGGTCTAGCACTGGCTGAAGACCTTGGACTCCACAATTTTGTTGTTGCCTCATATCCGAAGTAGGTTGTTAATGATATGGCAAATGGTGGTCGGGGACACAATGGTGTGATCATCGGTGATATCAAGTCTAGAGCAACTAGTTTTAATTGTCATTTTTCTTTTGAACCTCATTTAGGTAATGAGGATGCTCATAATTTAGCTAGATTCTCCCTCTATTTAGGCCAGGGTCGCCACATGTGGGTTATGCAACCCCATGACCCAAATGTAATCCCACAAACTGTGATATTTGATGAATAAAGCATTGCTTTACTCCTCAAAAGAAATTAGGAATATCATTTGCGATCGTATAGGAAGTATCGCTAGAGATAGGTGCTTTGTAAGTGTAGGACTATACCATCACATCTAGGCATTTCACCACTACAAAAAATGGCATTTAATTCATAGTAACTTTCCAAAAGAAAATTTATTTTTTGAAAGGATGGATTATTGAATGCAAATGACAAAAACATGAAGTATCCGACATAGATACCATGACTTTTTAAATTTCACAAGAATCCAAAGAACTTGGGTTTACACTAATGTGAGTGTATACCCATAGAATCACATAAACAATTTGTAAGAGCTCTAAACTAAAATCAAGTGGAAAAAAATGTGTGGCTGAAGTCCTACAATAATAACCATACAATCACATAAGCCTATGATAGATTCGAATGGGCTTACCTCCAAGCAGTTATGTTAAAACTGGGATTTACTGAAAGGTGGGTGAGCATTGTGATGAGTACGATAAGCTCGGCGAAATTTTCAGTTTTATTTAATGGGAAGAAACTTCAGGAATTTACACCATCACGAACAATCCGATAAGGGGGGTCTGACCTCTCCATATTTGTTCTTCTTGGCAACAGAGGGCCTTTCGAGCCTCCCCAAATCAAAAAGTGAGTCATCAATCTTCATGGTCTGCAGATGGTCCCTTTGTCCCCATCAGTAAACCATATTTTATTTGTAGATGGCAGCCTATTGTTCTTCAAGGCTAATGGCGTAGGAGCATCTGAGGTGCACTAGGTGTTGGACACTTACTGTTTGGCTACAGGGCAACAGATAAATTTTGCAAAATCATCAATCTACTTCAGTAAAGATGTCCTTAAAAATATTAGGACGGACATAGAAGGGATTGCTACAAGTTGCGAACAAGACATTGAACGAAAAATATCTTGGGATGCCATCTGATGCGGCGTCATCCACAAATGGGGCATTTAAATACTTAAAGGATCGCTTATGGAGCAGGTCCAGGGATATATTGAAAGAACTATGTCAATGGCGGGGAAAGAAATTTTGGTAAAGTCAGTAGCCCAAGTTGTGCCTGTATACTCTATGTCTTGCTTCAAGCTTCCAAGGGGTCTATGTGAGAAACTAAACATGTTAATCAGGAAATTTAGGTGGGGAAGTATAGATGGACAGTGAAAGCCACACTGGGTTTCTTGGAAGGACATGATGCAACCCAAAGGCATGGGAGGCCTAGGGTTCAAGGATTTCTAGCTGTTTAATTTATCTCTGCTTGCAAGGCTGGCGGATTGGGTTGAGCAAGCAGTTCGATAAGAGATTGGAATATGTTGTCCCTATCAAGGCAGTCACGACAAAGGGGGTTACATCTCTTGTGGCAGACCCTGTCCATGGCGAGGGTACGGGCCGGGCTCGACATGTAGTCACCGTTGTAAAGAGTAAAAATACTTCCAGCGTTGAGTGGGCATGACCCGTGTGTATGATGAATAGAGGGAGCGGGGGAGAGAGTAACGTACCACGCGAACAAACCCATGCTCCAAAACCACCTTCCATGCATCAGGGCGGGGGAAGAGGGGAGTCATTTGTCCATTTTTGTGAACTTCAGATTGTCACATACCCAAGTTTATATTCTATTCATGAAATCTTAAAGGTTATTTGGATTAAACAATTTTGTAGTTGTAAACAAAAGCTTTTTTAGTCAAGATACATCAATTTATTCCCAAATTATTTGTTGCATAGATGTCCATAATGAACGAAACTTATATACATGTTGTTAACACACATTATATGCTTAAAAACACAGTATCGAATGTACATTTAGATGGTACTTGCTCCTTGCAAATTATAGTGCACATAAGATTTCTTTTATCAAATCGCCAAACTTCATAAAACTAGACCAAGTTTATAGAAAAAAATATCGATATTTTCTATACCAAACCAATACCACTATATTTGTATATGGTGTACATTTTGTATTGTAAATGTTTATTTAGTATAAATTTGGTCACAGTTTACAAAGTTTGACTTTGAAAAAAAAATCTTATATGCACTATAATTTGGCAGGGATGGCATACTAACTTACTACTGCTAGGATATTAGCTTGTAAAAGGGTGCAACCGTATAGAAGGTCTGCAAAAGTGTGGCAACTAGTAGAATAATGGTGGCGACGAGGGAAATGAACACCCAAGGGTTTCTCAAGTAGGTTTGTATGAAGTTAGCTCGCCACCTGTTCCATCTCTTCCTGCAGTGGGCATTCACCTGTCGCTGCACATCGTGGAGCCTACTAGAAGGGCTCATCACTCCTCCCTTGTTTAGCGTGTTGTTTAGGAGCTTAGCGACCTCTTCATCGCTGCCCAACCCACTCTCGATAATCATCTTAGATCTGAGCAGGGCGACATCCTTGGCCGAGCTAATCATGTTGTCCATGAAGATTACGTAGGCCGTCACGGCATTGCCAGCAGAAGGGTGGAGCCGTTCGAATGCCATTAGATTGAGGAACCTCTTCTCGGTGCCTTCGTTGACCCTAACCGCCGGCATGCTTAGCACGCCATGCTCGAAGTGGACGTCGAGGAGGCTGTCGGTGTCGCTCACCTTGAAATGGATTCCTGCTTCATAGATCTCCATCGCGGAGGGCATGACATACGCCTTCGAACCTTTGCGATCTTGGTGGTCGTCATGGGTAAGGCTTTGGTGTAAGATGTCGAGGGGATGGAGCCCGAGGGGGTTTATATCAACCACATGTCGGCGCCAAGGACAAAGGGAATCAAGCACCAACTTTCTTATCTCTCGAGCATCCTGTAGGAAAGTTGACATATATAGAGGGTTACATCTAACGTGCATTCTGCATCGAAACACATATACATTTACTTTTTAGTCACTTTTAACAGCTCAGTAATTTGACAGTGTGTGTGTATCTACAAAAGAAAAGTATCTATATATGCGCAATTTAAATTTTAGTACAAAGCAGTTTGAACCTGCTATTTTGATGCTCCATGTTATTCTAGTAAATGGTACTCCTTCTGTACCGAAATACTTGTAGTTGGGAGAAAATGGTAGGATGGTATTTATTATCATATGAAATAAATGAAAATGGAAAATATGAGAAAAGAGTAATGAGTACGTACCTGATATTTGTCATGGTCGAGAACAAGGAATAGCCTGTGGAGAAGAAGCAGTGGCAGCTGGTTCTCCATGACGACCATGTCGGACTGGATATACAGCCACAAGTAGAGGTAACCGTACTGGCTAAAGACGGGGTCGTTGGGCGCGTAGTCGCCCTGCACCTTCCCCCGCAGCGCGTCCATCCTCATGGCCTCCAGCAGGAAGCAGCCGTCGGTGAGCATGAGCTCGACGAAGCGCTGCCGGTTATCGTCCCCGCGCCACTCGGTGCCGAGGTCCTTGTACGCCTCCTGGAGCTGCTGCGTGACCTCGGCCACGGCGTTGACGAACTCCCGCAGCGGCCTCCCGGAGCGCTTGACGAGGTGCACCACGGCCCGGCGCTTGTGCTCCTCCATGGGGAGCAGGTCGGGCTCGCCGTGGTGAAAGGGGCCGAGGGAGACGAGCTCCGGCCGGTACGCCTTGGTGTTGTGCAGGTTCTTGATGCGCTCGGGGACGAGGTAGATGGAGTGCCGCTTCCAGCGCGCCATCTCCACCGCCGGGTCGATGTCGCCGATCGTCCTCTCCATCTCCATCACCCAGCTGCTGGAGCCGATGGACGGCGCCTTCTCCATTTTTAGCTCACCTTTGATCAGCTTGCGGCTTACCCTTTATTTAAAGCCGGCCGGGGAGTCCTTGCGTATATATACATAGATAGATACGAATAGCACCATGCAGTCTGTACGTAAGCGCGCGAATACGTAGCACACTGATCGAACAAGGCTATCTTTACATGAACTCGTATTAGCTACTCCAACATATGCATATATACGTACGTACTTGTCTTGGTGTAGTCCATCGGCGGCGGCGTAACGATTACCAAAGATATGAAAGGACACTTCATGGAACAGCCGGAATATGTGACAAAGGGTGTCTACTAAAGCTACCTGATCTAGCTAGATACTGCTCTCTATGCATACAGTAGACGGAGCACGGTGGTATGTACAGTGCTAATGGCAGCGAACCGGAACCTTTCTTAGATGGGAGGCAAAGAAAAAGACCCGGCCGGGCCGGCCGGGTCATACGGGGAAGCGTGTGTAGTTGGTGCACTCTGTCGCGCTTTATGCATGTGTGTTGCCTCCTTCGCACGCTCGGGGCTCGGCAGTGCAGCAGGTGAAACTTGGTGATGGTGCCCGGTTCAGCAGTGCAGCAGGTGAAACGGTCATGGTGCACCGCGCAGTGCACGCCGCTGTGTGTCGTCAAGAAAATAAATAGTAGTACAAAACATGCACTTTCAACAACAAAAAATGACATATATTAGTTTACTCAAATGATAAGTGCCATACGTGTGGCATGAAGTACTCCGGGTCTGGTGTTTTTTACAACTAAAGTTGTCATCCGAAAAGAAAAACAAACCAAAAAAAACTGAAACTTGCCGTCTTGCATCACTAAACTTGGCATCAAAACCGCCTGCAGTTGCCATGTGTTTGTGTCATACGTGCGGCATTTATCAGGGTCCTTAGTTTAAGAGCACGGCGTCCCGGTGGAGTCTGCGAGCACAATGTCCGGCACGTACGTCTTGGTTGCGTGGTCGTATGTGCCGAAGGTGTAGTACCCGAATCGCGTCAAGTCGAGGCTCACCTTGAGCATGTGCTTTACATCGCCGAGGACGCCATGGGAGGTGACAGGGTAGAAGTCCACACACTCCGACATGCCGGTGTCGCCGTGGTGTAGCTCTCGGCGCACCAGCACCCAGTGCCAGAAGTCTCGGCTCTGATGCAGCACCACAAGGCCCCGGTGGTTGTCCTTGGTCCCGATGATCAGGCACTAGAGCCTATCGGGTCCCCGCCACGCATTTGTCGGGTCACGTTACGCGGTGGCGTTGACCCTGGCATGATGACGGGGTTGAATTCTGATTTGACCCACTCCCGAAGGTAGGATGCTCATCTTATCGCGGCCTCCGATGCTCTGAACTATGGAGCGGCCGATCTGCGCGGAATGCACAATTGAGCATCAATTGTTAGTTAGTGCAGGAGCATCAATCATGTTAAGGTGCAGTGGCCATTTTGCAGTTCGGGGTGGGGGGGGGGGGCATGGCCCCCAGCTATGGTATAATCTTTAAAAGCAAAAGGGCCTAGAGGCCCAGATGTTTTCTAACCAAGTCCATCGCCGAGAATGACAACTCAACGTCGTCTTACACTGGTGTCGTGAGCCCGAGGACCTCTAAGTAGTCCCCACCCTTGACGAGCACATTCGTGATGTTGACATGGGACGACAAGTCCTTTATTTTTGACAATATGCCAGCACCACTAGTAGAATTCTGCAGGAATATTGTCAGGCCCAGGAGCCCTATTAGCCTCCATAGCAAATAGGCTCCTTTAGTTCCTCCTCCTAGAAGTTTTTAATCAGATAATTATTATCCCTATCATTGAGTTTCTCATCCCCCCCGCCCCCACGTGTCAGGATTCGTATGAAATTGGTTCCCAGGAGCAGGACCAAACAGGTTTTTATAGTACTCAGTAGTGTGGGTGATAAGGTTATTCGTACCCTCAGTTTCCACCTCTCCACGTTTCAGAGGATGAATAGTATTTTTCCTTTTACGCCCATTAGCAATCTTATAAAAATAGTTAGTATTTAGATCACCTTTGAGCAGCCAACGCTCGTGTTATTGTTGAAGCCAAAAGATCTCTTCATTAACTAGGATCTCATGAAGCTCAAAATTCACATCCAGCTTTCTGTTATACAATTCAGGAGTTAAAGGACGAACTTCCTCATATTCTTCTAATAAGGATAGTTCCATCCTCAAATCTTTCTCTCTTTTTATCATAACCATGTTTATTAGACCCCCAGCCCTTAAAAGTCTAACTTAATTCTCCTAAGTTTAATGTTGAGAATATCAATAGGATCAACAACATATGCAACTCTAGACCAAATTTCTCAACCAGGGTGTAGAACTCATCATTTTTCAACCAAGTTAGGTCAAACTGAAACTCTCTAGGATTAGGCGCATCCTTACTTTCATCTCCTGGGGAGAGAAGTAAGGGGTTATGATCACAGACAAATTTCCTAACCAAGACCAAGGGAGTTATGATCTGAACATCTGCACAGAAGTAAGGGGTTATGATCAAAGAGTTCAGAGACAAATTACTTGGAAGTGAAAGACACAAAGCAAAATAACCCATCTAATCTCTCATATCATGACACCTCAAGTCTGTTATTAGATACTACCTAATAATCTAGCTATACAAATGTACATCTTCCGCGTCAATCATCTGATCAGTTGATCGATGTCCATGTTGATCTTGGCCGACCGCATGTGGTACACGTTCAGGTGCGTGACTTTGACGTCTGGCCCGCAGCATGCCTTGTTGCCGACGGCCTTTGTGGCGTAGACCCTCACAATATGCTCTGTCGTGGCCTCCTAAGCTCTCCACCATGGAGTGGTCAATCTGCGCAGAATGCACCAATTGACTTTTCTGGTCTTTGTTATACAACTTTGATTATGATTTTCATGTGGTCTACAAAATTAGTATGCAGACATATAAAATAAAATTGTTTCAAAACACAAATACGATTGTGCCATTTATACATGTTTAATACATATATTTTGACATATATTAACGGTCAAAGTCATGCATCAAAGACCGAGCAAAGTCAATTTCGTCTTATATTTTGAGGAGGGAGTACCACTGTTAAGACAGTGGTGTAGTAGGTTGGTGTAATGTACCAAAGGTTCTGAGAGGTATCTTACTGCCGGTCTCGACAACGTCAACGTTAATGAAGCCGGTGAAGGTCGGCTTGTAGAGGTTGTCGGCATAGGACAACCTAATTTTTGCTATGGGTTTGTCTAGATCTCAGTCGACTGAGACTTCGCGAAGTCTCGATCGACTGATGACATCAGCATACGTATATGATATCAGCATATGTACAAACTAGGCCTGCTTTGTTTATGGAACTGTTTGCATGTTTTTGTTGCTATGGGCTGGCTTTGTATTTCTACTGGGCTTTTATCTCATCTTTTCCCCTGTGATCTGTTGCTTTGTTGCCAGATTTTTTTTCCTCTTCTTGTACTTGGGATGTACAACTGCAAGTATAATACTCCCTCCGTTTCTAAATATTTGTCTTTTTAGAGATTTCAACAAGTGACTATATACGAAGCAAAATGAGTGAATCTACACTTTAAAATATGTCTATATACATCCGTATATGGTAGTCCATTTAAAATCTCTAAAAAAACAATTATTTAGGAACGGAGGGAGTATGTGTTTTGCTATCCAGCTACAACCTCAACGAGTGAGGTAATTTTTTTGTTCAAATCATAGCATTATTTTTTGCCGGAAAAAATCTTGTATGCAATACGATGCATGCTTGTGTTGTTTTTTATATGGGCATGTAACTTATTGTCATTTTTTCGTTCGTGAAAAAATACAAAGTATTTGAACACAAAGAAAAGATATTGAAGAAAAAATAATAGTTTTGTGCTTGCTATTGCTTGCCCGCGAGCTATGAAGTTGTTGCATGCTGTTGTTAAAGTACAGAAGGACAAAGGTCAAACACATAGGTATATAGAATATATACACCATTTTTGTTACACGAACAATTTTTTAAAAGTGAAAATCACATGAGCATTTTTTAAGAACCGTGAACAGTTTTCAATTTTATGGACAGTTTAAAAGAAATATGAAATATGTTTTCAAATATGGACAATTTTTTAAATGCATGAACATTTAATAAGAATTGCATGAAAAAATCTAGAAAATTGTTCATCGCGTATTGAAAAAATGTTCACTGCATATTTGAAAAGTGCTCACTAATTATTTAAAAATCCTTAAACATGTATTTTTTAAAATATTCATATACATGCAAGGAAATGTATTTCTACTAATGGGAAATGAAAATCATATTAAAGGGGAAAAGGAGCAAATTAACTGCAAGTGTCCCTCTTCCACCGCCCTCCAGCAAAACAAGCATCGGTTGCAATTGAGGGCGACTCTTGCAGTTGCGTGCCGGGCGTCAGACATGCAACTACCCCCCCTCCCCCTCTCTCTCCCGCCGCCCACCGACAAAACAAAGGTCAGTTGCAGTAGGGTGCGTTGACATGCAGTTTCACTCAAGGGCGACACTTGCAGTTGCATGCCTAGTGTCAAACATGCAACTCCCCCCTCTTTGGCCACCCTCCAAC